ACACAATGGAGAAAAAGGATTCATGTAGCCGACCCCACGTAGTGGGATAAAGGCTTGATGTTGTTGTTGTTGTTGTTGCATCATTTGAGAGCAAGATGTGCCTAGTTTTTTATATATTATGTTTTATTTATGATTTTGAAGATTATGGTCATCAGTCGGTTCTATCTTTAAGTTTCAATCATTATGTAATGAACCTTCATCAATCTAAAGGAAACAAGTGCTAGCACGAGGTGGTTATTGGTATGCTTTATGTTGATGTTTTAGTCACAATGTTATGAACCTTATGCATCTACATGAAGCTAGTGCTTGTAAGAGGTTATCTTATGCCTGATTAATGAAATGAACCGATGGTTGCCTAGTAACTTAGCTTCTCTCCCTTAAGTAAACTCCCTTTTCTCAGCCACGCTTGCCTGCTTCAGCTTTATGTTGATGTTTTAGTCAGTATTTTAAGAACCTTATAAAGGTTATCTTATGCCAAATTAATGAAATGACCTAGTGGTTGCCTAGAACTAAACTTCTTTTCCTTTCCTAAACACCCTTGTTTCAGTTTCACTCGCCCCCTTGTCTCAAGGTTCCTCCTCTCTCTACTTAAGTCAAGTTTTAAGTAGAGCTCAACCAAATAGGGTGTCAATTCGGGTCAACGGGTCGGGTTCGGGTTGAACCCGAACTGACCCGGCACTGTTCGGGTCAACCCTCCTTTCCTAAACACCCTTGTTTCAGTTTCACTCGCCCCCTTGTCTCAAGGTTCCTCCTCTCTCTACTTAAGTCAAGTTTTAAGTAGAGCTCAACCAAATAGGGTGTCAATTCGGGTCAACGGGTCGGGTTCGGGTTGAACCCGAACTGACCCGGCACTGTTCGGGTCAGGTCAATTGAAGCATCTGACCAGGTCAAAGATGCTGAGTTCATATTTAGATTATTAGATAGCATTGTTGAAGAGATTGGAGAACATTTGGTTGTACAAATTGTGACAGATAATGCAAGTTCTTATAAGGCTGCAGGTAATAAACTTATGGAGAAGAGGAAACATTTGTATTGGACTCCATGTGCTGCACATTGCATAGATCTGATTCTTGAGAAGCTTGGGGATCTACCTCAACATAAAAATGCACTCACTAAAGCCAAAAAAATAACCAAGTTTATTTACAACCACTCTTGGATTCTAGCTCTTATGAGAAAGTTTTCGAAGAAAGAAATTCTAAGGCCAGCCGCAACAAGATTTGCCACCGCATACTTGACCTTAGAGAGCATGCTGGATGCCAGACAACCTTTAGAGGCTATGTTCACATCTACACAGTGGTTGAGTTGTGCTTGGGCGAAGAAGGCTGAGGGAAAAGAGATTAGAAAGATTGTTTTAAATGACAGATTTTGGCAAAGTGTCTTATATGCCATTACAACCACTAGACCTTTGGTTCATGTTTTAAGGATGGTGGATGCTGAGAAGAAGCCTGCAATGGGTTTCATCTACAATGCTATGGATGAAGCCAAAGAGATGATTGCCTCCAACTTAGGAGGCAGTGAGGGAAGCTTTAGGGAAATTTGGAATATTATTGATGATAGGTGGGAACTACAGCTTCACCGACACTTGCCTGCCGCTGGCTACTACCTAAACCCTCAGTATCAATATGCAGAGAACAAGTCTACAAACCCTGAAATAAAGTTGGGATTATATCATTGCATGGATCGTCTAATAAGTGATGCAACTGAAAGATCAAATGCTGACTTGCAATTGGTACCTTTTAGGAACAAAGAAGGTTTTTTTGGATTACAACAAGCAAAAGATACAATTGCCAAACGATCTCCAGTTGAGTGGTGGATTCAATTTGGTGATGGGACTCCAGAATTACAACGTTTTGCTGTGAAAGTTTTGGGCTTGGCATGCTCTTCATCTGGCTGTGAAAGGAATTGGAGTACCTACAACCAAGTGCATACAAAGAGGAGAAATCGCTTGTCGACATTGAGGATGAACTCACTGGTGTATATTATGTATAATAAGAGACTCAGATAGAAATTTGAAGAAGAAAGGAATAATAAGTGATGAAGATCCTTTGCTTTGTGGTGATGTGGCATCTGATGATGAGTGGTTTGTAGATGATGAAGTTGAAGTGATGCCGTCTGAATTACAAGATGAAGATTTAAATGTTGATTTCTTTGATAGTCTTAAAGCATTCACATCCACCACAACTCAAGAACAAATCAAAAAAGGTATATAAATAATATAGTTTTCTTTTCTTAAACTTTTATTAATGTATTACACTATTATTCATTATGATATTGTTCAAAAATTTCTACTATTTAGGGAAGAGGAAGATAACTAATAATGAGGAAGAAGAAGCTGATTGGGAGATATTGGACTCTATAGGAGAGGGGGAAGAGGAGAGAGCAGCTCATCATAATGATGATTCAAATGAAGACCCCCTTAGTGATGACTGATGAGTGATAATAATGCTAATGACTAGTGAGTTCCTAACTTCTTATGTGATATGTTAATGTCATTGCTATTTATCTTGTGCATTTTTATGTTTTATATATTATTTACTCATTAGTATATACAAAATTTATTATTTTATGTTTACGCAATTTTTTGATTTTGAGGCGCCTCACGAACGAAAAACGCCTCAATACCCGAATACGCAATTTTAAACCTTGATTGTTGGAAAATGCTAGTGTAATGCTGTAAAAAGATTTCTACGCAGAACAATCTCACACGATAAGAATTTTCTCTAACCATTATCACAGATAATGATTCTCAGTTCTCAAGCAAAAAATTCACAAAATTTCGTATGAGGAATGAATTGAAAGGCCAAAGCTACTAACAAAGTTATCATCAAAATCTCTCTCTCAAAGCTACTATATATATATCGAACCACACTGTCAATCATTACTAGTGAAAGTGTCAATCATTACTAGTGAAAGCTTGAGTGAAACTCTAAATCAAAGAAGGATATCTTGTCAATTCTAACAAGCTAAGCAGGTGACTACATTACAAAGCATTCACCGAACATGGCTGAGGAACTTTATCTTCTCAAGTAGCTACAACTACAAACCTCTTGGAACATCAGTCAATAGAAAGCTTGAGCAATTAGATAGAAGTGCAAATTAAGATAGTTTCAATAAGGTGATTAAAATCCTCAGAAAAGATGGCACTGCCAAATGAATTGAAAAAGGAAGACAAATGAAATTTGCTCAAAATTGGAAGGTTCATATACTATCAAAGTAGTCATATATCTCAACACCTACGAACTTAATTCAAGTGAAGAAATATACAATTTCCAAGGATATGGAGTTCAAATTATCTGAAATTTTTTAATGTCCAACTTCAAATCAATTAGCCTAGCTTTGGATTCAAATTGATTAAAAGTATAACTAGGAGAAATTTTTGAGAACACGATAATTTATTCAAAGTTAATAGTATTTTATTTAACATTCATCACAGGATTGCATCATTCATCTTCTTTATGAACCTCACTCTCTTTTCTCATACAAGGCTCAAAATCTAATATCTCGATATGTGGATTAAATTTCTTCTATTGATGACATTATGTAAAGCTTGTAATCCTTTCCTAACGAATTCAAGTTTATCATTCTCTGGTTACTTTTCAATGATTTCTTCATGATCCAGCTCTAATTTCTCAAATAATTTGTTTCTAAGGTATTTCAACTCATTCTTGATCATCAGTTGTGAATTCACATAAGTTTAGCAAATCTCTTCTAAGTAAGTTTTATGTGATCCTCGACACTCTTCCTTGTTAATCTCTCTTTATTCAGAAGATCTGCAATTATTCTTAACAATCTTCAGAAGTTATTAATATTGATTGAGTGCAGTTAATGTTGTGTTAGTAGTGAACTAGCCAAGGATCATCTAAAAAGATTCACAAGCTCATCGAATGGAAGAAAAGTCAAACCACAATTCTCTCTCTTGAAAACTGCTCGGTGTTCCATTTTCTCTCAGCAGCCTTCGAATAAACGTTCTTATACTGATTTCAAAGCTATACAAGATTTTCTTTTCTTAGAATACTCTTTGAAAGTTTGCATGCCATGAAATTTCGAATCCACCAGCACAATAGAAGAAGATGCTTTTGCCATAAAAAGAATCAAAGGAGTAAAAAAGCACAAGCAACCATAAGACAATTGAAACGAAGGTGAAAGACCTGCTAAAAGTTGAAAATCTGGGATTTACCTTCCACCGCAAAACCCTAAGCAAAATAGGAGTTTCAAGAGACAATGAGCTAGAAAAAATCAACACTCAAATATTTATAAGGCCTCTTAACTACCATCCATTTTGATGCTTATATAATTCAAATATGACCAAGCAAAATTTCTCAAGGACTCATCATTCATCTGATTAATCAATCCATTTGAACATCCTTAAAATCCATTTAGTTATCTCTAATCATTGGATTTTCCATTCAGCAAGTATCAACGCTTCATTCAAAAGCAAAAAATTATTCTACTAATTTTAAAATAATCTAAATTTTCTTAAGTTTAATAAAAATTTTCATATCATTGAAGCATTTAAACTTTGTAAGCAAATGATGGTTGCAATCATACTAGCATGGATCAATCCTTTTTAGTATGATTTGCCCTATGTTGCACTGATACACCTATTTATGAAGGTCTGCTGTATCCGATACACCGATACACGGATACGCCTCCGATACGCCTCCGATACGCCACCGATACGTGTCGGATACGCCAAAGCCGTATCCAATTAAAATACTATTTAATTTCAAAAGGACACGCCCGTTGAAAAACAAAAAAAAATCCGGAAAAAAAAAACATGTCGTATTTACTCCTGCGGCTGGGAGCAAGGTTCTCTCATTTTTTAGATGGATTTGAGTCTCTTGATGATATGGAAATATTAGAAATTACTAATCTTTCACTTGATGAGCCTAAATTAGAAGCTATGATATTTATTGAAGATGATATAGAAGTTCAAAGACAAACCACTAAAAAAGCTAATCATATCATTCCTTCTATTAAATAGTTGAAACTTAATGTGCTAGACAATTCATGTTTATGCTTTTGTTGTTGTACTAGACATTTAATACTTATATTTTGATATTATAAGCTACAAGGCTACAAATGATGTTGTTGCCATTTTTTTTTGTAATTTCGAATATTATACTTTGATTGCTCTCTTAATTTTTATGTATTATTTATAAATTATGTTGCCGTATCCGCGCCGTACCCGTATCCTATATTGTTAAGAATTGATGTATCTCGTATCCGTATCGGGTCGTATCTGTGTCGCCGTATCTGTATCGGTGCAACATAGGATTTGCCTAATGACTAGTTATAAATGACAAACAAATCTTATCAATGTAACAATAATAACAAGAGAATTGAGATGATACACAAGAGAAATGTACCTCATTCAAAAATTCAAACAATCAAAAATAAAGAAGCATATTTCAATGACTCGACCCAACCAGTATCACTCAATTTGGTGAAATGTTTGCTTGCTTATAGTTACTCTCTAATTGAATCATCTCGACTGATTGCTTAACCAGGCCCACCATGTTAGGGTCCACTCAAATATCTTCTGAGACTGTAATATCTCCTTAGAGGAGGATCAGTATTATAATTTTGTCAAAGTAATTCATCAAGTTAGCTCTTAAGTTCAACGTATTCTATTAGATTTTTCCTATAATGAGACAGCTAGGTAATGATGATCGAAGAACTAAATCAATATATATTATATATCACTCATTGGCAATAATTCATTAGGAAGCTAGTCAAGATAAATATCTTTATAAAGTTTGTTTGACAAATTCATAACATAAGGAAAATTCAAAACATCAGACTATATTATTGAACTCAAAGTTACTAAGATACAAATTACTCCCTCCTACCTACTCTCTTTCTTAAATGCATGTTTACTCAGAATATGCAAAAAAAAATGTACTCCAATGAACACACTAGATTAATGTTCAAATTCAGATTTACCCATTGGCTTCTATATTTCAGAACTACCCTTCTCCAATCAATCTTAAAAGAATATATATTAGACCTTCCAAAATGAATAAAATCTGAATCATACAAAACAAGTTTTACCCAAAATAATGAGCTTCCCCTGTGGCATCACATCAAACAAAAATCTGAAAGTATAGGTAGCCAATTCAATTGGAATTAGACATTTACAAGACACACAAATAACAATATTATTTACCTAATGTATGCACAGTACTTCAAATTGTGGATGTGATTCAAGTTTTAAATTCATATGATCTAAAGCATACTTAAACAACATTCATGTATCTAACACTATTTTTATGTGTTTAAACAATTTCTCCTCATATTTAAAGTAAGTTTGAAAAAAATCCAATCAAATTTAAACTTTAAAGTGGCTATAACGCAACGTATGACATGCAAAAATTTATTAACTAAAGAATCCTCATAATCACTAATCTCTTCATCAAACTTATGACCATCATCAGGATTATTAATTTCAATTTCTTTATTGCCTTGATGAAAATACAAGTTTCTACTAGGATACCAATTAGCATAAGGACAATATTGATGATATTTAAAACATTATTTTGGGAAAATTTTGAACCCAAATGCAATTATTTTTCCCATACCCTCATTAAACATAGTATTAATGCACTTAAATGTAAGTAGATGCAAAGGGTTGAACCCAATTGTTTTAACAGAATGATTAACTACCAAAACAAATAGCAACCTTCTTAGACAAAGAAATTGTATCATTTATTCAAAATCAAATGCAAGTTAAAAACAATCTCAAATGATGGAATGTGGTGAGGTATCATTTCTCTCTTAATATCAGGCATCAAACTAGATCCAAACCTACAAAATGTGATTTTAGGATCTTCAATGATCTCATACCACAACAATAATTCTTCAAATATATCCATGAATTTAATAGCAATTTTAGTTTCTTACTTTAGTGAATTAAATTCATCAAGCAAATAATTACTATAAGAGAAAGATAAATGTTTAACTTTTATATGTTTTTCTATTTCAACCCATTCACCAGTTAGTTCCAATCCAAATATTTCCCTTTGTCTCTTCATGCTCAGCCAATAAATTTTAGATGGTTCAAACAATTTCATTTTTACAAATCTTCCATATCATTAAGCAAGCATGATTTATTATTCAAAAAATTCATCAAATCTAGTAACTAGCAGCTTAAAGATCAATTTTACCATCATAAATAGGCACATTATTTTTTTATTTTTTTGTGATGCCATCGTCTACATTATAATTTAAAATTTTATAATTTCCATAAACAACATTTTTTATCCTTGAATTGTATATCGAAGTGATTTCCTTGTCTCATACTAAAACTAACATTCAAATGAATTAATTTATTACGGTTATTAGATTACTTCGGGTTCACATCCAAGAACTTAATTAGTTTCTAAATGTATCAGTTTCTAAATGTATCAATTCATGCTTCAACTATTCCAATATCACAACACAATTGATTTTAACAAATCAACCAATTGATTCTACATTGTTGTTAAAATTTCATCACTTTAATGATTTGTTAAGTTATCCTGATAATTGATCACACTTTAAAGTGACACATTGACAACTTAAAACTCTTATAGCAATTTGACACAAGACAACTCAAGGGTGGTATTTTTTAATGCAACTAATACAAGGTTTGCTCCTCGGCCTTCTCTTCGCCTCATTTGCAAGGTTTACTCCCACCACTAGCACCGCCCTTCAACCTGCACGCCACATATTTAACTTGCTTATTCGGCTCAATTTTCATATAATCAAAAACATTCTCAACCGCCTTCTCCCAATCAAGGAAGTCTTCAATGTGCAGATGTATGTCAAAGAACGGAATATCCAGCTTCGCCTTGAATTCGTCAGGATAATGTTGGTAATTTGCTCGTCATCGATTTCGGGGATAATCTGCAACATATCGATTAGCTATCTCCTCTTCACTGGACTCCCTCGGATCATAGCCTTGCACTGGAGGCGGTTCATCTTCTGAATCGGATGGTTCTTGGAGGTTCGCCTGGAGGTGTTGCTCATTGCGGCCGACCATGGCTCTCCTCCTAGGAATCGGCCTATTTGCATGTGTCTCCTCCCAATGAAATGGCTGGTAAGGTTGTCTCTCCCTGTTGAGATTGAACTCATGGCGAATCTCCACTATCAGCAGCTGAACATCAGCCGTCAATTTGTCAAGCCTACGATTGACATTTTTCTGGTTTGCCGAGAGCATATCAAGGGTCCGAACTCCCTCTGTCACTGATTCTTTTCCTCGGTCCGTCGTCTTCCTCCAGGCGAAGGCTCTGATACCAACTATTGTCCTTATGCAGGATCGCCGGTACCTGGAAGAATAATGCAAGAAAGCAGAAACAGAGAACAGGGCAAGAAGAAAACTAAGGTATTCTGTGTATAATACTTTTTTTTTGTTAAAAGAAGACAACTACTGTGACCTTTCTCCTATTCTTCTATATGTATTTTCTTCACCCAATATTACTATCTTTGTGGAAAATCTCTAAAAAGTTTGTATCATACTATAAGCAGAAAATAGCAACTAAAGTAGTGGAAAGCATAAAGTTTGTTAGAAATGGTAAGGTGTCCCACCAGCTCCCTAAGTTAACCGGTATTAGGGCTGCAAACGAACCGAGCCGAGCCGAGTATGTGAGTGTTCATGTTAGTGTTCATTTAATATCAGCTTGTTCAAGTTTGGTTCATGTTTGTAAATATTGTTCAAGTTTGTTTGTTTAGCTAATTAAACGATCACAAACGAGCTTTAATCAAACCGAACAACGAGTAGCTCGTCAAACGTTTGGTTCGCTTGCAGCCCTAACCGATATTACATCACAAATTATGTAGGTGAAATAAGAATAAGAAATGAGATTAAAAAAAAAAAAGAATAGCCTAGCATCATGCCATTATAAGTAGATAATCTCTTTTAGAATTCGACAGACACACTAGCGCCGCACTTAAAGAAATCACACACCCAACTGAACATTGAAAAGAGATATTTCAACCAAAGGCCTTTTTACAAGCCACAGAGTTTCCTAATTATAGACACTTTTTCTCTAGTCGACTACTCCTCACAAGTTTAATTTAAATTTAAAACTTTAGATAAACCAATATATATATATATATATATATATCAACATCAAACCTCTATACCGATCACCTTAAATCCAGTAAGAACCCATCAACAAACTTCCACAGAATATGCACTCACTTGAAAATACCACAAATAGCATTAGAACCCATAAGAAATCCACTATATTTTAAAAACACGCTCCAATGATTAAACTGCAGTTGAAGAGGAAGGGAAAGAATGCTGAATAAAATATGCAAGAAGGCATGCCTTCAATGGAAGAAAAAGGCCACCCATCCAGTCGGATAAAAACCACCAAAAATACTTAGCACATCCATTTATACCACACTAATTGAGAAGCCACCCAAATTAAAATTGATCATCACTAAAGAGAATTTCTCATTCTCATAAATCGCCATCATTATATGCAAGTGCTTAAATATAGAATTGGAAACCTAAAATAAAATAAATTACCTAATGTAAATTAATAAGCTATGCTCAGGTCAATATTTTATGACATGCTTTCAACAAGAATAGCCACACAAATTTCTACCATATGCAACACTCGGAAAATTGAATAAAGGAGTATTAAAAAAGCCAGCCAAATAGTTGGAATACGGTTGACCATAGTGATGATAAAAGAAATTTGAACTTGAAAAGCAGCTACTGGTAGGAAATCCTCTAAGCATGCCTCATTCAACTAAATCTATTTCCTTAGCTCTAAAATAGAAACAGGTGATGACAATCCAAAACTATAAGTTCTCACAACATATCATGTGTAACACAGCTCATGTTGGTCTGTTGGTTGGGAGCTTAGGCTACCAACTAAGAGGTTTTATATTCGAGTCTTGTGTATGTGATGTGTGTGAGTCTGTCTTAATTGGCCTAAATGTTCCCAAAAAAAAACATATCATGTGAAATGGAGAAAATGATTATTTAAGTTTTGGATAAACTAAATTCTTGCAAGACCACATCAGCTCGAACCATGAAAGATCAATGACAAGTTGATAGATCCAGCACCTAAATTGCAAAAGTCTTTATTGTGAAGTATGTCAAATATAGAAGTATATAATGTACTAGAGAACATGCTGCCATGTTTCAAACAGAGAAGATAAAACGGCTGTAGCAGTTAACCTAAGCTGCATGAAATAGAACAGTAATCCCAGAAAACCAGATTAACTATAACTTTGAAACGGCAAGCACAGCTGCTCCGAGCGCCGTTAAAGAAAAAGACTACAAGAACTTACAGAAGAAAGTTCATCCATCGGCCAATATAAGTCACGCATCAACCCATCTGCCACTGCACTCATATCACCAAAACAAAAACATTTTTCCCATTCAGCAAAAAAGAAATCAATCTTTCTCATCACATCAAAGTTTCAAATTAAACCCAAGTCACCCATAAGCAAACTATCACCTTGAGGACCGGCTCCCCTTTGGAGGGGGAATTTGATTGCTTGGCCGCCGCAATCTGCGCCCGGACTGCTCTCCCCGCCGCAGACTTTTCAAATTTCTCCTGCCTACAATTCGCAAGAGCACCCATCAGCTGAACATCAAAATCTCCCAAAAAACGAATAAATAATCGCATATGGCATCCCAATATAGAATCCTAAAGTCCCATCAATGGAAAAATCCGGAATCAGGTAAGGATATTCCAAAATTCCAGGGTTAGCTAAAAAAGAGAAGCTGAAGGACGATGAATCCTTTCAGAGGGAGATAGTTGGAGAGAAGGAAATCACCTAATTCGTGCAGCCTCAGCGGCCTTGGCGCGGGCATCTTCTGACTCAAGGCGATCGGCCTCCCTCTGCGCCTTGGATGAGCCGAAGCAGGAACACAGCGCCATCGATTTCTACCGTCGAACAAAGTTTCCGGGGGATTGTTCCCTCCAGGGCTCTCCGCAAGTTCGCTTTCTCCGTCACGGATTGTGGGGTACGCTTACGTCGATCGTCGGCTTGACGTTGAAGTGTCGGAGGGCATCACCATTGTCTCGATTTAGACAGGCAACAGGTTTCCAGGCCCAAAAAATGGAAAAATTATTAGGTGCGGAGTGCAGACGAGGTGAGAACCGTCTGCGCAGATACAGAGTACCGAGCGGTACCCAACGGTACCGAATGGTACCGAACGGTACCGAACACTATTTTATACTAGTGTGCAGAAGGTTCACCCGTCCGCACTCCGTACCTAATAATTGCTCCCCAAAATGGGTTAAGGTTTTGGAGTAACACGAGCCTTGGACTACGCCTTGACCGAGCTCCTTCAGTCCTTCAGCAGTTCGAGTCCTAAGGATTTACAGAGAACTCAGAAAATTTTTCAAATTAATATTTGAATTAAAAAATTTAAATTAAATTCAAAATCACCCAATCTGATTTCAGTAAATTTATAGTTAAAATGATTCAATCCGGGTTCAAATTAACTTAAGTACATAAGTTATATTTAAAATTTTCTAAACATAAATTGATGAACCAAATGACCTCCAATTATAACATGTCTATAGTCAAATTGAGCCTTGGACCCTTTCTTGCTTCCTTCTTTGCCTATTAACAATGGGGTAGTTAATGCTGATTCTTGTGATGCATATGATATGGTTCTGAAATTGGGTCCTAGTGATGCTGTAGTGGGGAATGTTGTTGGTATTTCGGTGGAAGTTGATGTTCAATTGACTTCTGTTTTATCTATGGGTGATTTTGTTTATGTTGAGAAGGAAGCTACACCTTTAGCTATTGTTCTACGTGTGAATATAAATTTTGCTAACAAAGAAAGTGATTATGGAAACATGAATGGTAATAATTGTTGCATTAACCTTATAGCTAGTCCAATTTATGTTGATGTTGTGACGGATTCGGGTGGTATTTATGTTTCTTTGGTTGTTGAGGGTGGTGGAGCTACCGGTGATGTGGATACTTTGGATAATGTAGCTTCTGGGAAGTCTGCTTCGCCAATTCATGTTGTGGTGGTTAATGAGGATAATGATGAAGTTGTTGTGGATTTTATTTATGTTTCTTTGGGGCCTATGGTCGGGGATGTTGTTACTCATTCTATTGCTTTGGATTCGAACTTACCTATTAATGTCGGGTTGGAGTCGATGCTTTTGCTCTTAATGGTGTTGTTGCTTCAATTGATGCTAAGCGTGTTGTTTTGAATGTTGAAATCACTGTTCCTCTCATTGATGTTCATATTTCCCTTATTGCTAGCGATGCTTTGATAGCTCAATTAGCTGCTAATTCGAAGGAACATGAGGTAGTTCAAGGTGACTGGCTTGAAGATTGTGATTATGCATCTAATTGGGATGCTAGGGAAGTGAGTGATGTGTATGGGATGCACTCCAAGGAAATATATGATCTTAATGTGATTCAAAAAACTAACGATAGTTACTTTAAAAAAATTGATAAATCTAAATGGAGGAAATTCAAAAAGAAATGATTTGTTTTTTGGATTTTCTTTTCTCCTTTGCTTGGGCTTTTCTTGCCAAGGGGATGATGGGTCTTATTCCAGCTGTCTTGTGCTGCTCAGGGTTCATTGGGCCTTTGTTGGTTGATGTCATTGTGTTGTTTTTGCGATATTGCTAGGTTTGTTGGTGAGATTGGGGGTTATTGTTTGTCTTTTTTTTTTCGGAGGTGTTTAGGCTTTCATTTTTGTTTTGTGGGTTGCTTTCTGGTTGCTCGTTGTTGGCTTGGTTGGATGCCAGATGGTTTTGTTTCTTTTCTCCTCTTGCAGGTTTTCTTGCATGTTCCTTGGTGGCTCCTCTCCCTACTGGTGGGCTGGTTTGTTCATCCTTCCTCCTAACTGTGAGTTGTTGTTGTCGCCTAATTCTGCCTCTCATTTGTTTTTCTATTGGTTTTTCTTTTTCTTCTTCTGGTTTTGATTGTAATAGTTAAGATCTGTTGGCTCTTGGGTTTTACTTCAAAGATTGTATTTTTAGTGAGCATCTGGATCTTTTAAAGACTTGTAACCTCCCTTTTAATTAACATGCATGCCCCATTGAGGGTTTTATCCAACAAAAAAAAAATTATGGACACCCGATTCTATAATCTTAAATATGAGTTCTTAGATAATATTATCTTCTTTAATTATGAGGAAAGAAGGATGGATGCATGTACTTCTTAATCTATAGTACTAGATTATTCAGCTATGATAAGTCCTGTGATTTTTCTAATTATAGATTTTCTACATAAAAAAAAATTCTTCTCTTATAATTTTTTATGTGCATGCCAAATTTTGTCCAAAGTTAAAATCTAAAACATCAACACTATCAGCAAAATTTTGTAGCGCATAACAAGAAATGTCATAGAAATATCTAATATTTAAAATTTGATATATATATAATCTAAATCATTAAATTATATGAAAGTATCACAAATATTAAAAAATATTAGGTATATTGATCGTCAACTTGACGTCAGCTGCCCCAACCACTATTGGACTTAACATTTAATTCAAATCAAACAAATAATAATAATCGCCTACATTCTTTTGATAATTGTCCAAATAATTTTAAATATTTCAAATACAATATATAAAAAAAATCATACTTGACTGGACTAATTTTGCAAACCAAGTCAACATGGCATATGTACTTAACTGATATCTTAAGAGGAAAAATATATATATGTTTTTAAAGTACCTTTATATCCTTATTCATATATATACAAAAAATTTACACGATTTTAAACGAATCAAAACATTTGAAATTAAATTCAAAATCATGTGATGATAATCTATGTTATTTATAGATTTTTACAATCGTATTGTTATGAAATAAATTCATCTCTTTTATAACAAGTACTTCTTGCTAGGGTACAATAAATTAAACACAAAGATAAATAATAAATCACTATATGCAAAATAGAAACAAACATAAGGGATTTACGTGGAAAACATGAATATGGAAAAAACAGCGGTGGAGCAGGGAAAACGGTTTTGGAATTCCACTTTTTTTTTTTTGTGGTACCCTAATTTTTCCCTATAAATACATTATAAAAGGAAAAGAAATAAAATGCTTAGGGTCATTAACTAACTAGCTACAGTAGCTCCCACTATGGCTCAACTAGGGTTTCCACCCTAGCTGATCGCCAGTCGCAGTTTCTTCTTGCTTTTCGTCTTTCACCCTAGCCGATCGTCAGCGTTCTCTTTGGTGCATGTGCCTTAGGGAAGTGCTTTTATCATTTTGCTCTGGCTCTCTGTTTTTTCGAATTTTTTAATGATTACATGTCGTCCTGCTTTCCATCTTTCGCCCTGCCGATCGTTGGTTTTGTTGATGGTGGTTATTCGCCTTGAGAATCTTGATTTTTTTAATTACAATGGCTCTTCTTATTCCTTCCATGATACTTTAGCTGGTGATTCGTCTTCTTCTATTTTTTCTGGCCTCAAAATCACTTCTCATAGTGGATTTCATCATTATGGATTTTGAAAGATGAAATTTTAGCTCTTGTTGCCCCTTTCAAGCTTCCCTCGGTGGGAAAATTTTCAGCTCGGCATCCTTCTCTCAAAGCTATTCAGAAATTCTTCTTTAATTTAAAGTTTAATGATGAAGTTTTCATTACCATCCTCAATCTGAAGCATGTGTTGGTTAAGTTAGTTAATGATTTGGACTATTATAGAGTGTTTTCTCACTATTCTTATTTTGTGAACAATTATTTTATGAAAGTGTTCAAATGGTCTTCTACATTTGATATTGAAGTGGAATCTCCAATCATTCTAATTTGGATTTCATTTCCCAACCTTAGACCCCATCTCTTCTCCCCCCATATCATTCATGGTCTCGGTTCCCTTTTTGGTCTCAGTTCCCTTTTTGGTACGTCGACCTCTTAAAATTGATAATGCCACTTCGTTTGGCTCTCGGGCTTCGATAACTCATGTTATGGTTGAGTTAGATGTCACCGGCCAAAAACTTCCTTGAGAGGGTGTGGGTTGGCCCCGAAAATCTGGGTTATGTTCAGACAGTGCATTGTTATGGAAGAATTCCCCTCATATTGTTCTCACTGCAAATCACTTGGTCACTCGAAAATGGATTGTTGCATCTTAAACCCCCATCTTTCTAATCTTCACTCTACTAATCCTCTCTTGAGTAATGTGGGTGTTTTGCCTTCTATTGATGAGTCTACTACTAGACATGTTAATGGTTGTTTGGATTTGGCTTTGCACAACGATGTTGATGTTGTTGGTGAGAACCATGAGGAAAATGCGGTTCTCATATCTAATGATGCTAGGTTTTCAGTTGAACTAATCCATGTGGTTCCTCCTGTGGTTGTTCTGATTGTTGATAATATTGACATTATTTCTTCTAATTTGGTTGGAATTTCTTCGATCTCCGGCTCCTAATGTTATTAATGCTTAAAATTGGTGATGATATAATTATGGAGGCTAATAATAATGTTCATTTAATGGTTGTTGGTGGTGTTAAATATGTTGTTTCTTCTATTGTTGTGGAGTTGGGTCATAAAGGTATTGATCTTGAAACGTGCCATGAGAATATGCATCTGGTGAATTTGGGTTTGTGTGATGTTAACAGGTGGTTGATGTCGATTTAGATCTATCTCGCACGTGTTGCTTATCATGTCGTTGTAGAGAATGTTCCATTGGATTTTGATATCGGTTTTTCTCATAATAGCTTGAATGACTCCTCTTGTGGAGTGGTTGTTATCTCTAGTTGAGTGGCTTTTTCGGTATTGGTTGTGTCCCCTACTATTTTGGTTGCGAATGAAGTCTTTCCTTTGATTGATATTCTGGTTTCACTTATATCTAATGATGTTTTGAAAGCTCAACTAGCGTTAAAAATGTGATTGGCTTGATGAGTTTGTTTCTTCCCCTTGTGAAGGTGATGGTGAGAATTTTGTTGGGTCTGAAGATGAGTTTCAGGCAAGGTATAATTTGAATGTGGATCGCATAGTTGAAAATGTCTCTTCTCTTGGGAGTGGTAAAAGTCGTAAGCAGAAATCTAAGAAGAAATAATTCTTTTTGGGTTTTGTTGGTTTGGTTTGGTTGTTTTGGTTTGATGGTTGGGCCGTGAGTTGTGGTTTTTCTCGGCTTAGCTATTTGTGTTGGGAAGGTTGTGGCTCTTATTTTTCTTTTCTTTGTTGTTTCTTGCTTGCAATGTGCTGTTTTGTTGGATCACTACTGGTGTTGGCACTAGTTGCTTCCATTTGGCCTCTCTTAGGTGGATTGTTGGCTCCCCGTGTGATCTTGTTTTTGGTTTGTTATCTTTTCTTTTACTTGATCTTGTATTTAGATTGAATCTAAAGCTCGTATGTTTTTATTTTTTAACTGTTGTATTTTAGAGAGCTTTGGATTTTATTAAGGAAATGTAACTTTGCTTTACATTAATGTGTAGGCCCCTTCTGTAGGTTTTATCAAAAATTAAAATAAATAAACAAAAGGCTTAGAGTTTGGCAGACATTTTTTGTACTCTGCCTCTTCTTAATAGTAACACACTCCGATTGTGGTTTTTCTCAGATTTAGTTTTTCCACGTAAATCTCTTGTGTTCATTTGTGTTTTGCAGATAATGATTTATTAGTTTGACCTTTCCTTTTCAAGGAGAAATCAGATGTCTTCAAAACATTCAAATAGTGGAAGACTTTGATTGATAAACACTTCTATTATTGAGCAAAGCATGTGTGAAGAATTCAATAAACGTACCATATTAATTTGTTTATTAACGTACCTGATTGAACCAGTCTTTTTACGCTTCTTAAATATACTCATTATTATTTACTCTTAACGACTTGGTCGCACAGTCAAGATTCAAGAACATTATTTTGGACAACTTTCTTCATGCAAATACAGACTGAGAAGTGAGAAATAAAATCAAATCTACTTAATAGCATAACTTAGAAGACTGCACAACAGCGTTAGGTTCAAGTTTGGTGGGACGACCTAGCTCATTTATTATTTGATTGATATCCTAACCCCCAATTTAAGTTGGGCCATCTCTCTTTCTATGTTCCTCTCACTGTTTGGCATCGCGTTTCTGGTGCTGACACGGTAGCCAGTATTCTACAAGACACTGTGATCAGCACAGCATAAAAAAAGTTAGGCTCCTGAACTGGGGGGTAGATTAGGGGATAGATTTGAGCCCGGGTGAGAGCGGGAGGAAGTTCTTCCATCTATAAGGGCACAGGCCCGATCTCGAAATTTATTTTCTTTGAAATGATCTCAAATATTTGAGAGATTATTTTGTGCGGTGTCCGGACGCATCCAGAGGTTCATTCGGATGCGTCGCATCAGCCAATATACTATGTATTGGAACAAGTGACGCATTCGAACACCACACGTAACAATTTTTCTTAATATTTTTGATTTAGTGAGCTCACATGTGTGGGCCTATCAGGTATTAAGTGTACAGATTTTCCTCCAATCATGATTGATGAATTATAATTAATGCTGAAATTATCAATTTCGTTTGGCCTGCATTGAGTTTGACTTTAAATCAGTATAATATGTAAAATAAATTTCATAATATGCAAAAAAATGGAAGATTTATGAAAGAACTTTTTAAGATTATATATAAATCAAATATTTTATGAATTATCATTCACTATTTAAAAATAAAATAAGGGGACATATTCAGCCCAATATTCATATCAAACCCCAATTATTTATTAATTATTTGCCATTTAAGACTTAAGTAAAAAACTAATGAGTTGGTAGGAAAATTGCTCTTTCTTTGAACACTTGCTTACATCGATCCTTGCCTGAGAACATCTCATGCAAAAAACACAAAACAGAGGCAACATAAAGGATTGGGAGATCAAAGCCACATGAAAACTGAAGAGGAACAATCAATCATACAAAAACACAAAACGATATGTCCAAAAATAAAAGAAAAACATGCAGAACACCAAAGAGAGGCCTTCATCATCTTCATCCTCTCTTTCCAAGACTTCCATTTGCTCTGGGAGATGCCAATTCTTGCGCTCCCCCACCTCCGGCAGCAGCAGAGAGCCTCTTATCGCTCAGCTTCCTCACATAATCCTTACTCAAACTTCTTCTCCTTGCGTTCCCACTCTCATCAGCGCCACTAAAATTAGGCACCAAATACCACCAAACGGCTGTACAGCAAATAGCAAACACCTTTCCAAACACCACCAAACACACCAATATCAATAACACCACCACCAACATGAAGTACGAAGGCCTCAACTTCCACCACTCCCCCCTCCTCTTCCCCCCCTCACCCTCAATCCATGACACCCGCTTCTTAACCTTCTTCTCCTGCTGCGCCTCCTCCTTCGGCTTCGGCGACAGCAGCGTCGGCGACGACAGCTCTTTGAGCTTTGGCTGAGCCTTCGGCGACGATGGAGCCGACGACAGCTCCTTGAGCTTCGGCGCGGTCTTCTTCGGGCTGGCTGGGTTGCTTTTGCTGTTATTGGTGGTGTTCTCCTCGCGCACCCGAACTACAATTGGGATCCAGTCTTGTGAATTGGAATACATGAAGCGAACCATGGTGCCGCTGTTACCGTTTAATCCTTTCTTCGCCATGATCTTCTCTTTCCTGGCTTCGAGATCAGAGAGGACTGAAGTGAACTTTTCAAGTCCTCTCGATGAGTAGGGGTTCTTGCTATTGCTACTCTGTTGCTTCTTCTTAGAGCTCTTCGGTGTTGACGGCGTGGAATTGGGAAGATCGTCGTCAACATGGTTGAAACTGGAGACCCCGCGAAGCATTGGGAAATGGCAAAATGGAGGATTTTTAGCTCTAAAAGTTGTTTTTTTGGAAGGGCTTATTCGGGCTTATTATATAGGAAGGAGACGAGCAGGTGTGCGTTGGCGGTGTTGTGAGAGGGTAACGTGGCGCGGTGGCGGAGGTTCCGAGGGACTGGATGGTGCTGATTGATCGGGTTGGATTAGGACTCGTTCAGACGATCCTGCCCGATCCTGCCCGGCCGTGCATGGCAGGATAAAAAAATTTTGAGAATAATTAATTTTATTGAATTCTGTCATTGAAATAGTAAGAAAAATATTTTTTAGGGCCGGTGTAGATAGAATTTACATACATACCACTATATATCTATCATTTTACATATCTAACACCTCATTTATTAATATTACACTTATACCACTCAAATCCCTAATTTACCTCATTTCTACCACTTCGTCTACCGCATACATCATGACGTCTTCTTCCCGCTAAAATCCCCTCTTCGCACTAAATGTCTCGTGAACTTGCTTCCCTCCTACGTTCCCGCCTTCCACTTCTCACGATGTTTGGAAAACTAGCTTATCGCCAGGCGAACTGCTTCCCTCCGACCTTCCCCGCATTATGCTTCCCAAGTTCGTTTTTACAGAGTATGAAAACAAGATTATTTCTGTTGAAAACAAGATTTTAGTAAGTCATACTCGTTTGTAAGTTAATGAGAATGTGCTTGTTGGTTAGTCATACTCGTTTGTAATGAGTTCTGCTTGTTATCATCCTAAAAATTTTTGTTTTAGTTTAGCAGTCAAAGATTTTTTTTTTTGGCAAGCCATGCTCTCGTTTTTCACTTTAGGAACAATAGAAAGTAGAGTGAGCAATTGAAGTTGATTATAGCATATAAAAGAGATCATGCATGGCCCTTCTTTCTTTACTTTCATGCCTTTAATAAGCAATTGTATGTTGTTTATCAATAATGAAGGAGATTATTTGAAATAGATATTTAAAGAAAATCGTGCATTTCCTTGAAGTTGTTGGCACCTATTTTTCTTATGCAATAAGTTTCAAACATGTTTTGCGAACAGTTTCCATCAAGGAGAATTTTGGGGTCAGGATTAAGGCTAGTGATAATAAATGTGTTATTACTATAGGTTCTTATCAAAGTTGTCAATAAAGAATTTGAACTTCCCTATGTGAAGATGCTCAAACTTTTGAAGTTAGGAGACTTGATGGTTCTCCAATCTAGTATTTCCAAGGCTGAGGTGGAATCCCTCCATTCAAGACATATAGTTGATGTTGAGAGCAGAGACTGCACATGTAAGATATGACAATTAACAGGACTTCCATGCATTTATGCCATTGCTTTCGTTGGGATGAAGGAGCATCTACATTGGCATACTTACGTTCATGATTATTACTATGTTTATAGGTAACTCTAACATTTGTACTATTTGGTTTCCATTTCCACATCACAATTGCTACACTAATTTCAAGTTCTTTAGGTATAAGATGGCATACGATGGAACAATTAGCATGTTACCTTGGAAGGATCAATGTCAAGTGGTCACGATATGGTTGAGATTAGAGTGACAAATACATCAAGACCTAGACGAAGACCCAAAAGAAGAAGAAGAAGAAGATTGCCAAGTTTTTTTCTGAAAAAAAATAAGAAAGTACATAAATGCAGCAGGTGTAATCTTTGGAGTCATCATCGAAGAACATGTAAGAACCCATTAAAAGAATATTGATGACACAGTAATAACACAAGTAAGGTAACCAAAGAGTCCAAAGTTGCAAAGTAGACGGGCTGTTGAGGAGTTGGGAGATGAATATGAGTATTCATATCTTGAAGGTTTATAAGTAATTTAATGTTCAAGAATATATTGGGTTACCTTTTTTTTGGTCTCACATTTTTTGGGACACATGTTTTGAGTGAGATTGTTTTGGTCTTCGATATTAACTGATAAAGCATTCTAAATTTGTGTATTTAAGTTCCATGTAAACATTTTTGTCTTTGCTTTCAATACCAAATAGGTTCTGTGAACTGCAGCTTGTATATTACAGTTTTTTGACCATCAGCAGTCATTCTGATTGTTTTGTTTATGTGACCATCTACAGCATGGCTCTTCTTGTTCATCAACCCATTTAAAGTAATGGCAATCATCATCACTTCAATTATAAATACACCTATAAAATTGTCTTTCATTATTTGGTCCTTGGTGGCAGGTAAACAAAACACATTTGAGGTGACAATGATAATATACTTGGGATTGCTGTCGCCTGGCTTTCATAACTGATGAATTTGAAGAACTCGTTATAACTGAAAAAAAAATTATGTTAACACGTTGCAGAAATATAAACATGCTTTTATCATCTACACCTCAAAGCGAAATAAAATTTTCATTCTTTTACCTTGGATTGTGAAGAGGTCAAATCTCAATGGCGTTATCCCCCTCCTTAACTTCACCAGTTGATGCCCTAAAAACGAAAAGGGGAATACGATGTCGTTAGCGTGTGAAGAAGACATCGTGATATATGCAGTAGACGGAGTGGTAAAAATGAGGTGAAATAGCAGGGATTTGAGTGGTATAAGTGTATGTAAAATGATAGGTATATAGTGGTATGTATGTAAATTTCCCTTAATTTAAACTTCTAAGTTCTAAGTCTAAAATTTGTCATCTATCTTCAACCAAACTCAGATCCACATCCACCTCATAACACATCCATGATATCGCACAAATCTACCTACTTACACAGTAAATTTTGTATAAGCCATTTACACCTCTTGCAAAAATCCCATTCATGGCTTTCACTATCTTCAAATTTTAGTTTTCTTAATAAATTGACTGTATATCCAATTTTGAGGAGCTTAAAAATTTGTATGGCTTGAATGCTTAATGATTTATATAATAATTACAAAATAAAAAATAATTTAACAAGGGGTTTTATTAAATTAGAATATATATGTATATATATATATATATATACATATATATTCTAATTTAATAAAACCCCTTGTTTTATATATAATCATATTTTACAAATATAAATCATGTTTTAAATAACGTATTTAATTCGTTTATGAATTAAACAAATTATTACATAATTCTTATTTTATTTTGCATCCAATTGACACATAAAACATCGAGCATAAATCATCAAAATTCATTTATGATTTCATGTATTTTTTTTATTTAATCAAAGAATATTTCTCATGAGTAGCCTTATAATTTTGAAAGACTGTTCTTAATTATTAAAATATGTAGGAAATATTTGAAAGGATTATTAAAATGTTTTTTTTTTCATTTTTTATGCATATTATTCATATTAAACTAAAAAAAGATTAAAGAATATAGAATTCTAAGAAAAAGGTTATAAAACTTTGAGAAACTATCCAAGAGATTCAAAAGGTGTATTTCTGATATTAGAATTATAAACAACTCTATATTTACTTGCCTAACAAGAATCATTAAAATATTAATGTTTGAATTTTTCTCTTTATAAAATAAGTCATACATGATACATGCATACATACATTCATATATCTATGATTAAACCTAAGAAATTCACATACATGTCTAATGAATTATGTTATGAGCACATGCACTAATGAGATAACTCATTAGTTTAATATCATTAAGAGAGAAAACATAATTAGCAATTTTTCCAATTATGTGACACAACACTCACAGATATTGTAAGTGAACGTTTTTTTCTTAGTATGTTTATAATGGAGGCTTGTGCAATTTATGATTATGATGCAATTATTAGAGCAACATAGGTATGTGGTTATAATATGATGTGCCGTTTTTTTGGGTCTTCGACATACATTTCTCAAGGAATCGTACCATAGTAACTTTAGAAAGACAAATAATTTGAACTTTACACTCTCTTACATCAATCATCTACTATGTTGGATTCCTCTGTGATACATTCACATTACTTAGCTTAGTGACAATTGAGTGCTAAAGCTTTACGCTTTCATATCACACATTTAAGTTTCACTCACTTAAGATAAAAATACTCTTAACTTATGATTGCAGCATGATCAAAGATTGAGCACATGAGCTCATCATGTTGAACATAGATAAATGACATGTCAACTTCTAGACATTGCTGATGCCTACATCATGTCATGCCCTTGTGATTATACATATTCTCTAGGATCCGCCTTGAGATAGATAGCCTAGACATATGATTCACACATAGACATTTCCTCGACCTAATCACTTTAGGGTGTGTCTCCCTTTTCTAGTGCATTAGAATGATAGATCTTTCACTTTCACACATGATTACATGGATTATATGGCACCCCTGACCCAAGAAGGATGTAAATTCTGTCTTTTAGCTCATCCACTATATTGAGAAAATAGTTGGGCATTTTTTGTCCTAAAAGACCAAATTATAAGTCTCGTTTTAATACCTCCTTAATCACATTAAGAAGAAATATGGGTTTGTTTGATCTCATAGGTCAAACCATCACCCAACAAATATCATCAAACTACAATCCTCCAATCTTAGACCAATGTCGTCCAACTACGATCCTTCAACCTCTATCACTCAAATATGATCATTCTATCTTTGTCACCCCACAATGGTCCAATGACCTCCTACCACTCTTGTCCAACTATGATTCTACAACCACCTTTGCTCGAATATTATCATCCAACCTTCGTCGCCTTAACTATGATCCTTCAACCTTTATCTCCCTGTTATAATCCTCCAACCTCCAACCATGGTTACCTGACTATAATCCTCCAACCTATATTTCCCTATGACAATCCTCAAACCACCATTACCAAACTATGATCATGTAACATTTGACCACTATCACGCAACTATAGTCCTCTAACTATAATCGTATGGAATTTGATTGTGTGTATCAACTGAGTTGTTATGTTGCACCGGACCTCAAGTTTTTCGTTCTTGTTGAGGGGTACGGGGGGTAAAAAAAAAAGAATTTCGTACAATGCCCCGGCACTATGTATATGAGTGCCCTGAAGCTACGTACCCAATCGCCCCAACGTTGTATTTTTGAGTCCCCCAATACTAAACAA